GTAACCTTAGTGTAGTCTGCTTCATGCTCCACGGTAATGTCTGCACAGTTATCTTATTTCCGCTATTTGAGCAGATATACACGGACAGCCTGCTTCCTCAGCCGGCGTGAGCCGAAGCTTTGGCTGGGAGTAAGTGCGGAGAAGAGGACTGGTAGTTACTGCGCCAGGGGGGAGACTAACCAGCTAGTAAAGGCGTGTGTTAAACCACCAATGAGCCAATTGGCCACACTGTCACACGTTCTCCCAGAGTAAAGGAAATTACTAACCAGCTAGTAAACGTTTGGGTTAGACAAACTGCAAGGCCAATGGTTGTACAGTTTCCCAGCAGAATGAAATGGTTAACCAGCTAGTAAAACTATGCAGTAGACGACCCCTCCCCTGTGAAAAAGCCTGTTACTGTACGTGCTGAGTCTTCCACGTGCTGTGTTTATCTTCACACTTTCCCAGTTTTCCGAATCTTCCATCTCAATATCCGGAGCCATGCTAGATTGGATTGGGAAAAGGGTAATGGGTCGCCCTGTAGTGCCCAAAATGTAATGGTCCCACTGATAAAAAGGGGGGGGGGGGGGGTGGTGTATGGCCGCCTGTGGAGTGGCTGGATGCACAGTGGTGGATCATCACACACGGCACCCCAGCAGGCCTGTCAGCACCCACTGCATGATTTCATGCTCAGCTTCTGTGGTGGCGTTTTTTTTTTTCTTCTTTTAACTGGAATTTGATTACAATTTAGGCATCTGCTTTGGCTTTTGTAAGTTGGGTTTATTTTCAGCATGGAAGTATGCTTTCTATACGCCCTGGGAAATGTGAGAATCCTAGATTGTTTAGGTGGTAAACGGCAACTTGCTTTAGTCTTGCTGTTGATGGGTTTTACTGTATTTCTGAAAACTGTGCAAAGGACTGTCTCCACAGGCTACATGGGATCTAAAGTAACGGTGAATGGGAATTTTAAGGACATTTTATTAAAAAAATAAACATTAAATGTATTGCCTTTACACTTTGGGGAAACTTCATTGTCAATTTGATTTTTCGAAGTATATATCTCGATTTGCCATTGAATTGAGGTTTAATACCAAATAAGTGAATGTATTATTCCTATAAATGACACACTTATGGGAAATTATTTTTGACACAACACCTTAAAAATAAATATTTTGAAGTTTGATACATGTTGTAAACCATTTTGAATAATGATTTTTATAACATTTTAAAACGACTAAACAGGAAATCTTGGTGTCGCAGTCAGTCATGTTGTGCTGAATGTGTTGTGGGTATATATGTTTCTTGATGGTCATTCATTGGTATAAACACTGGGGGGAAAAATGCAGATTGGCTGGAATGTGCACCAGAATTGTGAAGATCATTGTGTTTAATGTGAAATGTGAAAATGACTGGCTCCCTCCGTCTGCTCCTAGCTTGTTTAGGCAAGCAGATGGTAGCTCTCTTATCTGGGAAAAAGTCAGTGATCTTGATAATCATTGTGTCGGGGGGGAGAGTGTTGACAAAATACTTTCATACTTTTGGTGTTTGGTGGTTGGCTGATGTGGACCTGGCAGAACCCAGTTGGGTTGTGCTCCTGTGCCGTGCTGGTCTCTCCCCATGGTTGTGGGTTGAGTACACGTTCTGCCTGGGCTTGGCTCTGTTTCCAGCACGCGCTGTGCACCTGGAGACCGCTTGACCAAGTAAAAGTCCTTCACCTTGCGGTCGTTTTCTCACACGGTGCTGTTAAATATTCAGCGGTCCCATAGACGCTCTTAAGCACCTACATGTAGATGAACATTTAGCTAGTGGGGGTATTACGGGCCTTTAACTGGATACATATGGAATGGGTGTTAACAGGAGGCATGTTTGGTTTGTGGATTAGTGTGTGATGTTGGCTAACAAAGCTTTGCTAGCACTCGGGTGCCGAACTGGGGCTGCGTTCCACTGGTTTACAACAGGCGTGATGTTTTCTGGAATCCAATGTTTATATTCTATAGTACAGAAATGTTGGCTTTGTCCTGGACCTCAAGCATGGCAACTGAGCAATGAACAAATAACACTTTGATTACTGATAATTGTAGGCTGATAGGTAGAATTCCAATTTGTTTTGTCTAAAAATCCCTAAACGGGATGCAGGAAAGTCACTTCAAGGACTATTTAGAGATGCGTCACCCCGTGTGTGTTAAAGCTGACTATATTCAGTGTTCAGGCACAGCTGTATACAGACCCAAACTGGTTCAGCACCACCTACTTTCCTATCCCTGAGAAAAATGCTTACCCTGAAATCCTTCATTAAAGTTTAACACGGCGTTTTTTTTTGTTTTTTTTTTTAAACCATATCCGTTTCACCGGATAGATACGGATGCTTGGCAGAGCAGTCGCGTAAGCGGCGGTGTGTTGTGTTAAGGTAGGATGGGAAGGTAATGTTAGAATGGGCTGGCTCAGCCCAGAACATGCTGTCACATCCTGTGCTATTAGGATGTACCCGCCTGCCTGGGTGTCTCAGTGGGGAAATGTGAGCCTCGGCCCTGCAGCCAAGGGCTTTCCATTTGTTAATGAATGTGCCCCCCCCCCCTACTGAAACCTCCACGATGCCCCGTCCACCTGCGTGTGTCTGTATCTGGGTCTGCGCTTCTGGGTGTGTCGTCGTGTGTCTCTGCGCGCATGTGTCGTGAGTAAGCGGGCAGGAATTTCTCAGCTGATTGTTGCTGTTCTCCAGCTGCCCCACTTCCCCCGCGTGTGCCCTGGCACCCGAGGTACCGCTTCTTCCCCCCCCCCCTGTGGATTCAGGGAGCCTGTGTGTGTTGCAGATCACTTTGAAAATACGTATGACTCACCCAGAATGACAGCCATGTGGACCGTGTAGGCGGTATGAGATCGATGAGGATGGCCTCTCCCCCCCCCCCCCCATCTTCCATGAAGCCGCTGTGATTTTTTTTTTCTTTTTCCCCTTCGTGTTTTTTTTTATCTCCCGTGGCTGTTGCTCAGGCATTTTGTGGCCTTCTGGGAAATGTTTTTGTGTTTTGCAGTTACACCCTAATAGCTTTCCTGTGAGCGGAGTGCTTCAGGCTGGTCATGCGTGAGGGTTTAGATCTGTGCATTGACTCAGTTTAATGAGAGAGTGCAGAAAATTTTTATTGAGGCTGTAGCAGATCCACTGAATAGGTCCCGTTGCTGTAAATGTATGTTTTGGAATAAGGAGGTAAATTAAACAGTGCGACAGGTCTGTGTCACAGTGGCTGTACTTAGTGGTGGGGTGTTGGCATCCCCTCGCAGGTGTTTTGAATGCTGGCAGAATGGCCGGAAATCCAGCAGCTGCTGGAGAATATGGCTTTGGTGTCCCGCCCCCCCAGAGAGGATCGCGGTCTGTGGCCTGTTTGTGGTCACCACAGCCCCGGGGTTCATGGCCTTTGTGGGACCGCTCTCGGCCAGCCCGGCTGGATGGATGAGAGAGGACGGCCTCACATGTGTCTGGGAAAGCCACGGCGGCCAGTAACGTGGTAGGAAAAACCCGCCCTGATACCTCGGGTTCCCGAGTCCAAGTCCCAGGGTGTTGCTTGACCTTGAGCATCGTGCTTAAACGTGCGATACAATGCAGAAAGGGGGTTGGGCTTCATATTTGGGATTCTCCCGACCTGCTGACCATCCTACCGTGCCCCCCCCCCCCCAGTAGAATTAATGATTAATTTCTTCCTCCTTGCTAATGGAGTACCTTTTCCTGCTAGAGCTCAGAGCACCATGAGAGCCTGGGGTTCAGGCGGTCGTGACGCTGTGCTTGGGGCGTGTGTGCGCCTGCAGTCTCATACCACTGCGTCTGCCCCCCTCTCTCTCTGTGTATTTATAGCTTACTGGCTGGGGAGGGGGGCTATGCAGATGGGCGGCAGGATGGACCCTGAGAAGGGGGTGCTGGAGCTTGCTAATTCTCCAGCCTAACAGGTGTGCTGCTACACAGGGGTGAGAATGAGGACTCCTATAAGCGTGCTTGCGTCTGTGTATCTGTCAGGCTCAGAGCAGCCCCAGAGGGTTGTTCGGGGTAATTACTCTCTTCTTTTCAATGCACCTGGTTTCCTCCTGAACTCGGAAATGGTGAGCCTGTCCCTCCTGGCTCCCCCGCAGCATGCGCCCGCTCTACTTGCGCCTCATCGCGGCCGTCCCAGATCGAAGCTGCCATGTAGCGGCGCCCCCTCCCCCTTTTCTGAAGGGGCGTGCGTGTTTCGTGGGAATGTTCACCAAGGCTGACACGTGCTTGGCCCTCAGTGAGCCCTGGTCCCGGATGAAATCTGACTTTCAGCAGAAAAGCTTCTCCATCTGTTTATCATTACGGCGGGAACTGCTGAAGTCTCAGGGTAAATAATCTGGGAATTCCAGTTCTGGCCTGACTGCTGTTAGCTGCTGTGGGCTGTTGGACCGGGCCAATATAAGGCTCGATGTACAAGCCGCGGTCGGGTTTAGATGTAATTTCTGCTGCTATGCAGCTCGATACCCCTGTGCTAAGCTTTCAGAAGGACCTGTGTTTCTGGCGCAGTCTGCACATCGCCTGTGGGATGTGCAGTGGAATCTGTCAGGGATAGTTTAAAATAAAAATGTCCATGTTCACTGACCCTGAAGGTGTCGTGTCTAATCTGGCCTGAAAAATCAGAGGGGCCAATTCTTGGAGAAACCCCCATTTGTCTCTGGCTGGCTGGCTGCAGGTGCTTGCTCGCCTACACTGCAGGGAGGTGCAAGTGCCCTGGGGGCCCCCCCTGTGACGCAGCAGTCAGATTGAAGGTGGCAGCAGCCGGATAGGATTGCCACACCTCTGTGGGCCACAGGGCCAGAACTGATACGCAGCTGGGCAGGTTTTGAAAGCAAGCTTGAGCAGTGTACTGTCATTTCTTGGTCAACCTCCACCCCACACACACACACTTTGGTAAAGCAGCTGCAGCTGTAGGGCGGCAGTGCCGCATATCACTCATGTCTGGCGGACTGCGGCGCCGTTCAGGGGGGTGGGGTGGGAGTCCTCGTCAAGGACACGGGCCGCTTCAGAATGCTTCTGCATGATGCTGGCGGTCTGCACTTCCTGTTCGTTCACTGGGGTCCCTGCGTTTTCTGGTGCTAAGAGGTCAAAAGAGATCAAAGAACCTGATTCGTTTGTGACGAACTACCTCTTGAAGTGACTTTGCTTAAAATAAGGGGGCTGTAAGGTTCCCCCACGGGAGTGCACTTCCATTAACACCACAATACACTTCAACGGCACATTACGGACCTCTCACCTGAAATTAACCTGTGCAGCGAAGCGGGTGTTAGGCTTTGGGGGCTATTAGAGCAGTGAGGGCTTCATATTCGGAAGGAGACCTTGGACATCATTAACGGCTTGATGTGGGAGTGCTGATGGAACACCGAGGCCAGTCACACCCCCGCTCTTTTCCAGTTCTGTTTCATTTGTGTAAGGCTGTTCTAAGAAACTAGGGACTATTATATTATTTAAAGTGTGAATTGGAACAAAATGTACCAAAAAAGACAGTGGAAGGATCTTGGACAGAGATACCGGGGAGGAATGGAATGAGAAAGTGGTGGCAAAAGACTTTTCTACATAATACCAGGTCAAATGCAGTGATTGGGTGTCTGAGGTGTGCTGCTGATAAATATTGCGATGGATTTGTGTTTTGGCCATCGGTTTAAGATGAGCACTTTGCCCATGTTTGTGGCAGTGCAGCGTAACTTGAGCTGGAGTTGGCAGGTTGCATCTGCCGTAGCTATTAGGCACGCTTGTCATTTGTAGCCCATTCCTACTTAGTTGCAGGTTAAGAAAAGTAACCATTTTCTTTTCATTGCAGGTGTACATTCTCAAAGGAGTGTGGAGTGGAGAAGACTCGAATTCCCTTGCATTATCTGAGACCCTTCCTCCCTGGCCATTGCAATGGGTACCCCGGGAACTGGAGAGCCTTACCCATGATGCCAGTGAGCCAGCTGGCGACCAGCAGGACCCAGTCTGCTGCCCACTGCTATGGGTTTGCTTTTCCTTCTGCTGGCTGTGTGCCGATTGCTGTCACTGTATAGATCAAGAAGTCAGCTGCTTGAGATGGATGGGGAGACGGGAAGGACATGGAGTTCATCAGGCATCAGCCCGAGAGGAGAAAGATGAAGCTTCCCATGTATTCCCGAGCTTTCTGTGCGTTGAAAGAGCAAATTCTGAACATGGAACCTGAATGGTCACGCATCTGAGAAGAGCGCACTGGAAGGAACACTGCAGTATCACTTTTCCGGGCGTCACCATGGCTGCTGACCCTCCATGACATCAACTTGAGCCGTAAAAAAAAAAGTCGAGGGGTGTAAACGATGTCAGCATACAACATACTGCGAAATGGCGGCGCAGGAAATGGGGGCCAGCCATGGGTCCTGCGATGCTCCAACCGCATCCGGCTGACTTGGCTCAGCTTCACGCTCTTCTTCATCCTGGTTTTTTTCCCACTGATTGCCCACTACTACCTCGCTGCCATTGACGAGTCCGGTGGACCTGACAAGCGCATCTTCGGGCCACGGGCTGGCGGTGAGCTGTGTGAGGCCAAACATGTGCAGGACTTGTGCCGCATCCGTGAGTCGGTGAGCGAGGAGTTACTGCAGCTGGAGGCCAAGCGGCAGGAGCTCAATGGCGAGATCGGCCGCCTCAACCTGCGCATCGAGGCTTGCAAGAAGAGCATCGAGAATGCCAAGCAGGACCTGCTGCAGCTCAAGAATGTCATCAGCCAGACGGAGCACTCCTACAAGGAGCTCATGGCCCAGAACCAACCCAAGCTCTCTCTTCCTGTGCGCCTGCTGCCGGACAAGGACGACGCGGGGCTCCCGCCGCCCAAGTCCACCCGTGCCTGCCGGCTCCACTCCTGCTTTGACTACTCACGGTGCCCGCTTACTTCCGGCTTCCCGGTGTACGTGTACGACCCAGGGAGCTACCCCTGGGGCGAGAACCTGGACCCGCTTGTGAAGCAGGCTTTCATGGCTTCTGCGAAAGGTAGCATTTATGTGACTGATGACCCCAGCATTGCCTGCCTATATGTGGTTCTTGTTGGGGAGGTGCAGGAGCCCCCGTTCCACTCCTCCTCCCTCTTGCCATCCAGTCTGGAGAAGCAACTGCACGCGCTGCCCTACTGGAGAAAGGATGGCCACAACCACCTGCTAGTTCACCTGTCCAGGAAGTCCATGACACAGAACTTCCTGTACAATGTCAGCACAGGCCGGGCAGCCGTGGCGCAGTCCACCTTCCTGGAGCGGCAGTACCGGCCCGGCTTCGACCTTGTGGTATCGCCACTGGTACACGCCCTCTCCGAGCCCAACTTTCTAGAGGTGCCGCCACAGGTGCCAGTGAAAAGGAAGTACCTCTTCAGCTTCCAGGGAGAGAAGGTTGAGTCCCTGCGGAGCAGCTTGCAAGAAGGTCCACCTCAGTCTTTTGAGGAGGAAATGGAAGGTGACCCTCCAGCGGATTATGATGACCGCATCATTGGTACTCTGAAGGCTGTGCAGGATAGCCGCTTGGACCAGGTACTGGTGGAGTTCACTTGCAAGAGCCAGCCATGGCCCACCCTGCCTACAGAATGGGCACTGTGTGGAGAGAGGGAGGAGAGGCTGGAGATATTAAAGGCCTCTACCTTTGCCCTGGTCATCTCCCCGGGTGATGGGCAGCTGGTAGCGTCCGCGGGCTGTGGCATACGGCTTTTCGAGGCCTTAGAGGTGGGGGCTATCCCCGTTGTGCTAGGTGACCACTCCCGGCTGCCCTACCATGAGTTGGTCAGCTGGAACGAGGCAGCCTTGCTGGTGCCCAAGCCACGCATCACAGAGCTGCACTTCCTCCTGCGCAGCATCTCCGACAATGACCTATTGGCCATGCGGCGCCAGGGCCGCTTCCTTTGGGAAACGTACTTCTCCACGGCTGAGGGTGTGCTTGGTACTATCCTGGCCAGCGTGCGCACCCGCATCCAGATACCGGCTGCCCCCATCCGGGAGGAGCCTGCCCAGGAAATCCCCCACAAGGTGGGAAAGACTGCGGGGACCGACCCCAACATGGCTGACAATGGGGACCTGGACCTAGGGCCAGTGGAGACGGAGCCTCCATATGCCTCGCCTCGGTTCCTGCGTAATTTCACATGCACGGCCGCGGACACTTACCGCGCTTGGAACCGGCCGCCGGGGCCCTTCCATCTCTTCCCTCACATGCCCCTGGACCCCGTGCTCCCATCTGAGGCCAAGTTCCTGGGCTCAGGGACAGGCTTCAGGCCCATTGGTGGTGGCACGGGTGGCTCAGGCAAGGAGTTCCAGGCGGCCCTTGGAGGTAATGTCCCCCGAGAGCAGTTCACGGTGGTTATGCTGACCTATGAGCGGGAAGAAGTGCTCATGAACTCCCTGGAGAGACTGAATGGTCTGCCCTACCTCAACAAGGTGGTGGTGGTTTGGAACTCCCCCAAGCCACCCTCCGATGACCTCCTCTGGCCAGACATAGGCCTCCCAATTGTGGTAAGTGGGCTTCGGTTTCATCTCGGTGATGCTTATTGTATCGTGAACTTTGAATATGACAGAGCCCAGCAGATGTTACTTTTCAAGTTTTTGTACACAGCCTTGAATGTTCTTTTTCAGTTAGCATGCTGTCCAGAACATGTAAACCCACGTAGCCAGTCAGTCAGGTGCCATCAGATTACTGTGGGGCTGCTTTGAGGCTTTTGTTCTGCTAGGGTGTCCTGGCAACTGCAAAGCCAAGCTGAGCCGAGCCATGATAGGATCTGCCAGTTGCTGAGGGGGGGAGATGGGGGGCAGAGGAGCCTTCAAAGGGAGGGTCCAGACTGGGAGTGGCATGTCTACGTGCATATTCACAGAGAAGGATGCTTTCATCCATCTGACTGAAGTGAGACTTTGTTGGTGTCAGTGTCAGTTAGATGTATCATGGAGCATATGGCCCAGGACAGACACCATCGGGAGCTCCATGACCATCCTGCGTTATCTGAATCCAGCTAGTTGTAGGTATTAGTCAGTGTTTTATACCAGTGGCTAAAGTGGAATCTGTGCTTCAGGCTCTGTACCAATGGCCCAGTTTGGTGTGTTTCTAGGATGTATTTGATGTGGTGTTTTCCTCAAAATTCACCAGATTATTGGCTTTCTAATAATTAACGAACTAAAATGTTAAATTTAAATGTAAAGCTTATAATGTGTGCATCCACAATTTCCTTTTAACTGATGGTGCTGACAAGTGCTCAGTTTCTGCAGTATGAAGGTCAGCAGTAAGCCTTTCTTGGTTGGGTGTTTTTAATTAGTATTTGTCGTTGGTTGTTATGCTGGCTCCCCATGGTAATGACGTCATCACTTGGCATTTGTAGGCCTCCTGCAGGTAACCAGGGTGGAAAGTGTGTGTGCCATTCAGACATCTCTGCAAACACCCTTTAAGTGAATACTGTTTTCATCTTTGGAGGATTATCAAAGAGCATGAAATCTTTTTACCAAAAGTGTTTTCTGGACAGGAAGCTTTGAGGCGTGGTTTTAAATTTTTACATTCTTCTTTACTACGACTTCACTTCAAATTACACTTCATCTTATTTTTCCATATTTTTGGTTTCACATATTTTGCCAGTTTCCTTCGAAATTTTAGACATGATCTCAGTGACCCGTCACTGGAAAATGCTTCAGGTTGTTCCCAAATGGCAGGGAATACAAACCTCCTGTAAGTGTTTGTATCTCCGAACCACCAAGCCTGTAGAGTTAAGGGACTGGCAGGCAGTTTCCTGCTTCATCAGGCCTGGTGTCAATCTCGTCCTTCAGGTAGTCCGCACTGAGAAGAACAGCCTGAATAACCGCTTCCTGCCATGGGACGCGGTGGAGACGGAGGCCATCTTGTCCATCGACGATGACGCTCACCTCCGGCATGACGAGATCATGTTTGGCTTTCGGTGAGTGCCGTGGCGTGGAAGGAGAGCGCGGGCATGTCTGTAAAGTGGAGACTCTTCCTGATTATCGCTGAGGTTGGCGCAGACACAGACACACGGCTGGCCCTTGAGCAGGCATTTTTAAGTACGCAGTGTCCTCTTGTTGCCTGCGTGTGTGAATCTTCAGATTGTACTGCACGACGGAGAATAAGTGAACCTGTGAACAAGCCCCCACATGGTTTTTCTGACTCGCACCCTGTGAGTGTGAGGTAGCCTTCATGGCCACTGACTCTGGGCTCCCCGTGACCCCGGTGCTGTTTCAGGGTGTGGCGCGAGGCTCGTGATCGCATCGTGGGCTTCCCTGGGAGGTATCATGCCTGGGATGTCAACCACCAGTCCTGGCTCTACAACTCCAACTATTCGTGTGAACTCTCCATGGTGCTGACAGGTGCCGCCTTTTTTCACAAGGTAGACTCTCGTCTGTCCCGTGCCACACCACCCCCTGTGGGTTGAGTGTCACATGTGGTCTGTTGCTGTGCTTTGGAGGCCTTGAGACAGCCTCACTGGCGAGTTTCAGATCCCTCCACAATCACTCTGGCAGGATATTTGTGGTTTTAGACCATGGTGCTGAAAGATGCAGTTAAGGCTGGACGGGTGCTTGTTTTTTCATGCTAACAAAAAGCCTGCCGTGCAGAAAGTGGATCGCAGAAACTCGGTACTTTAGTCGTATTTGGTGACAGACACTTTATAGAAACAGACAGGTCCGCTCCTCAGTTTTTTGCTGAGTTTTCTCCAGTGGTAGGATAAGGGAGCCTTCGGTTGACTCAGATCTGGTTTCAAAACCCATATTATGTGATGGACTTTGTCACTGAGTGTACGGGATGAGTCAAACGTCTGGACACGCCTGCTTTTAATGAATTTCTCTCTATTTTAGCTATTATTCACCCTGAATGCAATAAAGTAATGCATATCAAATATTGCAGTGACAAAGGGAATTGGTTAGCATCTGAAGATTTTCTCAAATTAGACTCCTGGGCTCAGGAGTTCTGGGCACAAGTAGACCACATTGCTCTTACACTTCGACCCAACTCATCCCAAACTAGCTTTGTAGCGTTTAGGTCGGGGGATTGTGGTGGCCAGATTATCTGTCACAGCACTCCATCTCTTTCCTTGTTCACAAGATAATACAGTACTTGTATAACCTCAAGGCGTGCTTAGGCTCATTATCATGTTGGAAAAACAAATGATTTTCAGTAGGGGTATCCAGAATTGTAACTGGTACTATAAATACGAGTCAGTCAGTCCTGTGTCCCTGTCTGAAACCCCCCCCCCCCTCCCCCTCCCCAGGCCCTGGACTTTATATTCCCTCCCGTCATCTGCCCCCCCCTGCCCACATTCCCCCCAGTACTACGCGTACCTGTACTCCTACGTGATGCCCCAGGCCATCCGAGACATGGTGGATGAGTACATCAACTGCGAGGACATCGCCATGAACTTCCTGGTGTCGCATATCACTCGCAAGCCCCCCATCAAGGTGAGGAAATGCAGAGGGGTGAAGCTGGGGGTGGGGGGAGAGGAGGGTCTGTATAATGACAGCGTTGTTAAAGTATTCTCCAGCTACGCTGTGTGAGAAGGCAACGCCTATAAGTGTCATCTCCGTTTCACACGGGGAAACGCCACTCCCCTTCTGGGAATTTTCACCGTCAACGCCTCGGTCCTCGTCAGCGTGGTTCCTCACGCTTCATCTCCCTTCTCTCTCTCATCTCCGTCCCTCCCCCGTAATCAGGTGACCTCCCGCTGGACCTTCCGTTGCCCTGGCTGCCCACAGGCCCTGTCACATGACGACTCGCACTTCCACGAGCGGCACAAGTGCATCAACTACTTCGTGAAAGTGTACGGCTACATGCCGCTGCTCTACACGCAGTTCCGCGTCGACTCCGTGCTCTTCAAGACACGGCTGCCCCACGACAAGACCAAGTGCTTCAAATTCATATAGGACTGCAGGGAGCCTGGAGTCGGGGGTGTGGATGAAGGACATCCTGCCAAGAGATTACAGGGGAGGGGGGGGGGATTGGTGTTTGCAGCAACCTTGTGACTTTGCAGGGGAGGAAAAACCTGAACTTTTTGACTGACTCAGTGAGACTTGAACAGATGATGCAAATAACTGACAGGACAGTTGGAAATAGAGACTGCTGCCAAACTGTATTCGCCTTTATTTTTGTTGTGTGTTATATCAGAAACCACTACAGCGCCTACTGATTCCTCCTGCGGCTGGGACACGGCCTGTTATACTGAGACGGGAACCCGAGGCTCTTAGACTGACGCGTATTCTCCTGTGGGTGGGGTCCCAAAATGGACTGGAGTACGAGGTAGTGGGCTACAAAGAAAGCTGTTGCACTCGGCTGCAATTTTTTTTTTTTTTTTTTTTTAACCATTTTAAATTTATATACTCCTGTACATGAATTTTTAAAAGCACTAATGGGTCACCTTGATATTGTATTCAGTGAGTTTTCAGAGTGTGATGTTTCATTGTGTAAAATCGCAGTGCAGCAAATGTCATTCGGCCCTTTCTGTAGAGGGAGAAGAGGACTGAGGTAACAGCCCAGTACTGGGTCCCAAAGATGGAGGAGCTCTGTGCCAAGGACCCAGGAAGGACGGGTACCCCCTCACACACACGTATACGAGAGTCGAGTCACTATTTTGGTTCTGTACACAAGCACAGATCCGTCGTTCACCTGCGAGCGGGAGGCTAACGTCTGTGCCAGAGCAACCAGCTTCTGTGTTTGTTTTTCACAAAGAAATCCAAGGGTGTCGAAGCGAATAAACCATGGTACAACCCTGCAGGGTTCCGGCTTCACTGTGTCTGACTTCACTGTCTTCAAGCTCCCTCTGTCTGCTACAAAAAACCTTACCTTTAATATACATTATTTTGGGGTGGGTAGTGCTTTTTGTATTTGTTTCTTTGCTTTGTTTTTAAATGCTCAGTTTTCCGGGGGGGGGCACACACGTGGTCTTACTTCGGTGTGCTCACTCGGGATTACCCCGCGCTGGCTGGCTTAGCCGGGTCTGCCGGTGATGCCCCACAGTGAGCTTTTGCATGGCCGTTCTGCCAAACCCAGGACAATGTGGCTGATGGGTCGGGACCATCTCAGGAAACGATGGTTAAAAGCTGCATGAAATGCACACATGCGGCAAGCTTGGAGGATGGCCTGTGTGTGGAATTAGGGGAGTTGTACGGAATAGCGGTATACCTCCTCTCCTCTCGGGGAGCGAGTTCACACCATGCATGCCAGCAACTGTCACGGGGAGTGACATCCGCAAGCCCTTCGCCCCACAGCACAAAGGCGCAGGCTGTGAGCAGCTGGATACCCACGGGCCAAAAGTGACCTTGATGTCATGGGGAGCACAGACATCGGATACCTGTGCAGCTCTGCACTGGGTAGGTCTGCTGAGTTAGCCTTGTGTGCCTCCGAGCCGATACACACCCCCTATAATAAGCACCTTGTCTGGGCCCTGGGAGGTGAGACGGCATGACGCAGATCGTGACTGCGGCGCAGACGGGAGCCTCTGATGTACGCCGCATCCTCAGGGGTGAAATCACCATCACAGGACTGCGGAGAAGAATCCCTGTGCAGTGTTTTTTTTTTGTTTTTTTTCCCCCAGGTTAGTTTTCAGAGATCACCCGGGTGTGGTCTGATGCTCTCCAGCTGTGTCAGAACCATGCTTAATTCTCCCAAATCTCTTATTGGCAGGGAGGAGTCTGGAAAGTTCCGCATGTGTAACTACGGGACAAGCTGAGGCTGCCGAGGTGAAAAGTGTCACGTTGCTACAAAACGTTATAAAATGCTGGGGCCTGGAACCGGGCCCAGCGGCACCCCTGCAGAATTATCCTGTGACCTATCCTGTTTTTCTCTTGCTGGTTTATACTGGTGCTGCCCTGGGCGTCCTACGTCCTGCTGTTTCCCAGTGTCATTTCAGCATCGGAACAAAGCGGCAGCTATGGGTGAACTGGAAATGGGAACAAACTGGGCGGTTTGCCTTTAGCGATGGAAGCCGTTTGGCCTTTTGACCTCTCCTGTGACTCTGTTCATCACAGGTGAAACTCACCAGTTTTTTTGGGGGGGGGGAGGAGAAATTTTGAAGGCAGCTTGCCTTGACAAAAAAGGGGGAGATCATGAGAAAGCAAACGGTAAAATGTATTTCTGTGAGCCTTTAACAGCCATTTAAATGAAACGCATTCTGTATCACTGAGTCATGGCCATGTGTAAAAACAGGCTCAATTTCACCGCCTGGTGCCAGGATGCAAACGCTGAACAGCACAGCTTATCTCCACGATACGGCAGCTGCAACGGAGCATCTCATTAAAAATAAAAAATGGAAAAGTATAAATATACAAAATACCAAGACATTTATTTTAGAAGTAATCCTAACATGGTTCTCAAAAACAGACAAATGTACACAAAGGGAAACAAAATCCCTAAAAGTCATTTACAATGATATAAAAATAAGGTTCCCACCCGCAGCATGAAATTACAATTGAAAACAGCTTGAGTAAAAGGCAGAACGTGTACTGGCAGTGATCCATCAGGCCCATCCTTACGGTCATCAACCTCACTGGTGTGAAATGATAGGTCTGTGATGACCTGTGGGCGGGGCTCTGGGAGGGGTGGAGCTCTGGGAGGGGTGGGGCTCTGTGGCAGGGGCCGGCCTCAGAGCTTCTGTAAGAAGCGCAGCACCAGGTCGCGTAGGGTGATGCGCAGTGACTCGTTGCTGTCGCACACGATGTGTGTGCCGTCCTCCTCCAGCTGGATCAGCGTGTCCTCAGCCTGCAGGTGCAGGATGTGCCCATCGGGCGTGTCCTCCACCTTCACCTCCGTGATGCCATGCTGGCAGGGAGAGAAGCAGCCGTCACAGCAGTCAATCACATTTCACTGAGGAGAGGTCAAAGGGCAAAGCTTTTTTTTTTTTTTTTGGTTAAATCAATAAAGCAGAAACACGTCAGGTTACGGGAGATGCTTTTAAACTTCAGTGAACATGTCGGTTCAGGCACCTTCGAAATCTGACTGTGTCTTTAATGCTGCTAGATATTTAAATTTGTCCCATTTTGTAGCAGCTCAGTTAAGCGAAGTATTTTTGGGCTTTTCTCTTGCTTTCAGGGAAGCCTTCCGGTCATAATACATTGCTGTGGCTGTTTAAATACCTGCTTTGGGAGAAGGGTTTTAAAACTTGTAATTACAAAGGATGTTTTCTTTTAATGATTTTTGGCAAAGTCAATAAGAAACTCAATAGTACTTTTTATCCCCCTGCCCACAATTTAATGAGGCATCTTCTCATGAAAGCAGAAAATAAGTCAAGCCACAGTAAATGAGAAGGGGGTCCCAGAATCTGACGACAAGGTGACCCGGGGACAACAGACCTGTGAAGGGGGGGGAGGGGGGGTGCTATTTGTTCACTGTTATCAGGGTCAAATGGGTGTCATCTCTGAGGCTTTGTTCAAGGTGGGGGTGGGGGGGGGTTTCAAAGACTGCTCTGCTTTACAAGCGAAGCAGGCGCCTCCAGGCACCTGTAAT